GAGAGAGGAGAGGAAGCGACGACGCACATGAACTCCTCGCTCCACTCGAGCGCGTAGGTGTGGAACCCCTCGTCGTAGCGGCCGCGGCGCTTCGTCGTCCAGCCGTACGTCTTGGCGACCGCGTTGAGGAACGTCGCGGGGCCCCAGTTGAGCGACGAGCGCACGTAGTTGATGCCCCTGCGCGAGCGTCAGCGAGTGCGTGAGGAGGGGCAGCGAGTGGGTAAGGAGGGGCTGGAGAAAGAGAAACGCACTGCTTCGGGTAGTTAGGCCCGTTCCCGCGCGCCTCCATGATGTCGATTTCACCTGTGAGCAAACACGTTAGCGTCGGCGTCCCGCTTCGTACGGAGAGAAGGAAAAGACAAGCGAGGAGGGGAGGAGTCTCCCCTTCTCCTCACTCGCGAGCCCGGTACGCAGGCATCGCGAGCGAGCGTCGTCGGCGTCAACGTCGCGCGGCGAGCATCGCTTCGTCCAAAGAAAGAGAGCAAAGAAGGAGACTCACCGCTCAACGGCCACCCGCCGTACGTCTCGTCCACGGGCAACATCCAGATCGCGGGCCACAGCCAGTCGCCCGTCGGCAGCTTCGCGCGCACCTCCACGCGCCCGAACCTAGATGCGCGGGGAGCATGTCAGCGCCGTTCGTGTACTCGTGTATGCGAAAAAAGGGAGGGGAGGCCGGGCAAAGGCAGCCCGGCCGTCCGGCCGAAGGGCAGGCAGGGAGAGATGAAGAAGAGGAAGAAGGGCGGACAGGACGGGGAGGGAGCAAGAGCAAAAAAGAAAAGCGACTCACTTAACCCTCGCGCTCCTCCGCGTGCTGATCCGTGCGCTCATCACGGGGGGAGGATCTTGCCGAGCGTGGCGTTGGAGACGGCGGAGCACGCGGCGAGGTACGCGGGGAGGTCGAGCGGCGCGTCGGGCGCTGGGAGGAGGGCGTTAGCGAGCACGTTCGGGCGTAGGCGAGCACGAAGGGATGAGGAAAACGAGAAGACGCACCCAACCCGCCGCCCGCGCTGCTCTCGCCCTCGGTCGTGTTGACGCCCGCGCTGCCGTGCCCCGAGGTCGTGTACCCCGTCGAGTGCGTGATGTTGTACGTGCACCCCGTGAGGTTGTACACCGCGCCGTCTGCGGAGGTGCGTCAGTAGGAGCATAAAAGGAATGGAGACGTAAGGACGCGCGAAAAAGGATGAAAAGTGCGGGGAAAGGACGGGAGGCGGAAGGGGGGAGGGCAGGGTCGCGGGAGGGAGGGAGATGTACGGACGGACGGTGGGGGTGCCGTTGGACGAAAGGCAGAAGGAGGGAGAGGACAGGGTGAGGAAGGAAGGCGGGAAGGGAGCCCGCGCGATGGGCGATATGCAAAGGAGGGGCGGAAAGGATACGTAGGGATGCAGATGAAGGCGAACGTCCCGGCACGCGGACACGCGAGGGAGAGGGTGTGCGAGTACGATGCACGCCTCCACAAGACGCAAAAAACGAAGCCGGACAGAAAGACGCACCCATGATCTGCGCCGTCGGGATGACGTCGCTCGTGAGCGTGGGCAGGAGGTACAGCTGCCCATCGCGCACGAACGCGTTCGCGTCGCTGGCGGTCGTCATCTCGAACTCGCCGTTCCTGGGGGGGGGTGAGTTAGTACGTGGAATACGAAGAAAGGAGGAAGGGAAGAGGGGGGAGGAGAAAGAGACGCAGAGGCGCAGAGGCCCGGAACGAAGGGACGGCGGGCCCCTCCTCGCCTCAAGCACTCCAGCGCCTCTTGCAAAACAAGCGCCCTTTGCCCCTTGCAAGCCCCCCCGCAAAACAAACGAAGCAAAAGAAACACCCACCCAAACCCGCTCGCGTCCACCTCGCGGAAGAACACGCCGCCGTCGCCGTCGCCGAAGAGCGTCGCGGTGTCGGTGTTGGAGAAGTCCTCGATGAGGACGGGGCAGAGGTTGTCCGTGAGCAGCATGACGCCGCGCCAGCCGGTCCAGATGCGCACGGCGCCTGCGGCGATGCCTGGAATAAAAGGATGAGCCTGCGGCGCATACAAGAGGCGCAACACCCACCGAAAAGGATCATCGCATACGTGATCCAGTACGCCAGCCGCCCGTGCGGGTCGCGCGTGCCGACCCACGGCTTCTCGAGGCGCGTCTTGAGCGTCGGGCGCCCGCCGATCCCCGTGTTTTTCTTCTTCAGCTCCTCCAGGTCCTCCGCGGAGACGGGCGCGGAGGGGACCAGCAGCGCGGTGCTCTTGGGGCGCTCGCGGCGCAGGCGCATGGAGCTGGTGGGCGGGGACGCGTAGATGGTGAGCGGGCGCGCGGGCGGGGAGGCAAAGGCCTCGCGCTTGCCGCCGGGGGTGCCCGGGGTGGTGGCGGAGAGGCCCGAGGGCCCGTTCGCGCCCGTCCCCGCGGACTGCGGGCGCAGGTTCCCCGTCGAGGGCCGGCTGCCACCGCGTACGCAGAGACGGGGCGGTGGATGTCGACGAGCGAGTTGGCGCGGGTGCTGTCGGGCGAGGGGAACGGGTAGCCGTCGCCCTGGCCGCCGGCGGAGAAGGAGCGGACGCTCGCGGGCGGGGAGAAGGGGTTGCCGCCGGGGGTGGTGAGCGAGTCGGCGCGGAAGTGGGCGTGGTGGGTCGGGCTGGGGTGGGCCGGGGGGATGAGGAACGACAGCGAGCGCGGGGACGCGGGCTGGGTGTGCGTCGGCGCCGTCGGGCTCGGCGGCTCGGACGAGTCGCTGTTGTTGTTGCTCGACGACGCAAACGGCGCAGAGGGCGGCGGCAGCGCCACGAAGGACAGCGGCGCGGGGCGGGGGGCGCTCATTCTCTGCAATCAAGTCTGGTCTATGTTCGTTGGCGGACTTGAACTTGCGCGGGAGGGGATCCTTGTAAGAGGTATAAGAGCCGATTTAGTCCCTCCTTCTTCTTACCTGCTCATGCTTACGCCACCCAGCCCTGCCTCCCGTCCGATAGCGTGCCTATCAAGGGGTCCAGCCTGCCTGCCACCCTGCCATGAAGAAGGTTCGATCTTGCTGTCCAAGTGGTTGGCGTAAAGCGAAGAAGAGATTTGATTCCGATGCCGGTGCCATTTGCTTCCGCGCATGGAGATTCCTTACTCGGACAACACGAAATCCCGGGATTTGCTGATCCCAACCCCGGGATCCCCCTGTTAATCGCCCAATCGGGCGCGTCAAGCCCAATGGGGCGAGACGGTGTTATCCTCCCTGATCCCTATAATTAAAACACACACGGAGACGCTGATGCGACTAATCTCCGTGCGAATCGCCGGCTGTCACGCGCGCGTCGGGAACCGGTGTCGGGAAATCGCACGGGCTCGCGAACCGCCGCGTGCCGCGTGTCGTCGTGCGCCGTATAGCTTAGTTCAACTTGGGTGTATGTATGTATGCCGTCAGAAAAAAGACACCAAGGGGAAAAAAGGGTTTGCGGAGGGCCTAGGCCAGCCCGGAGTCGAGAACGTGCATACACGCATCTGGTGCTTACTTCCAGGTAAGGGCAGTGCTATCGATGTCATTACCGGGTCTAACCATAGGGCCCTCTGATCGACCCCGGGAATTGCCGCGGCATCTACACTAGCATCGCACGCCGGCCTCGTGGACCCGCCGCTCCGTCGGGCAGGCCGGACGTCTAGACTTTCGTCGCACTCCATGGTCAGTTACAAGCATGAGTATGACATGCGCGGCAGTATAGGTATAGTTAACTCGCGTGTGTTCGAAAGATGAGTGACGACGACACGGAAGGAGGGAAAGACGACCCTGACAGCTACAGCTACATGATCGAAAACGTCTCATCTCGTCTCTACTCCATGGTCAGTTACAAGCATGAGTATGACATGCGCAGCAGTATAGGTATAGTTAGCTCGTGGTGCCCACAAGATGAGTGAGTGACGACGACACGGAAGGAAGGAAAGACGACCCTGACATCTACATGATCGAAAACGTCCTATCGTACTCCATGGTCAGTTACAACTGTGAGTATGACATACACAGTATAGTTAGCCTGCAGTGCCCACAAGATGAATGGGTGACGACGACACGGAGGAAGGAAGGAGGGAGAGGTGAGTGACACTGACAGCTACAATCGAAAACGTCTGCAGTGTCGTTTTCGACTTTCGCTGGGCACTCCACAACTCGTCACCCCGTTAATAATAATAATAATAATAATAAAAAGAAATGGGGGTGAAACAGATTCCGCCATGACCTACATAGCCCGGAATCGAACCGGGGACTCCCACAACATGTATGGTAATACTATTTCCAGGTAAGAGCAGTGTTGTCATTGTTGGATTGCCTTGTTGATCGACCTCGTCATGCTCAATGTCCTTGGTGCATGACGCTGAGCCTCACCGTCACCCTCGACGCTTCAACCGTTGAGCATGAGGATGACAAAAATTAGTTGACAAATTAAAGCTGCGAAAAAGCGTGCGGTACCGTGACCGATACCTTATTACCTATACCGATAGGATTATTGTCTGCACCAAGACAAGAATATTTTGATGCATATGGACCGTGGTCATTAAACGGCCGGTCAGTGCGATACCGATACCGATACGATTGTTGTCTGCGCTCTAGAATATGTTGATCGACCGTGGTCATTGAGCATTGACACTGACAGGGGCTTAATACATTGACAGGGGTTAGTGTTGACAGGTCAGTGTCATTTCATTGACCTTTTTTTTACCTTTATTGAATGACCCTGCAGGACGGCACTGGACCGTAAGCGTGGCGGGTGAGTCGTGCGCCGCTAGGTCCTCTCTCCTACCACCCTGCTCCTCTTCTGTGGTAGCGTATTCTTGAATTTACAGAGCAATTGAGCCAAAAAACATTTTGGAAAGGGGCGAGTGACCTAGCCCGGAGTCGAACCGGGAGCTCCTGCTGCACATGCCGGATGCCGAGTAGTTACGGAGAGCAGGTATGATCCATTCACCACTAGGTCTCTTTTCAACTGGTTTCAACCTCTATTTATCCTATTTCTTGAATTGAAGAGTGAAGGAAAAAAATGCCCAAGAAGAGTGTATGACCTAGCCCGGGGTCGAACCGGGACCTCCTGCTTCAACTTGATGAAAGAAGGGTTAAGGAGAGCAGGTGTGGTCCATTCACCACTAGGTCGTATTCCCTAGTCTTTGAACTTGAATTTATGCTCGAGTATTTCTTGAATTGCATAGTAGTAAAAAAATTAAGAGATCTCAAATAACTCAAACATGATCTAGCCCGGAGTCGAACCGGGTGCTCCTGCTTCAACATCATCAACGAAGTATTAAGGAGAGCAGGTGTGGTCCATTCACCACTAGGTCTGCTTTTCTACCTCCCGCTACCTGGATATACCACAGAGTATTTTCTGAATTAGGAGAGCAAAGAAAAAAATGTGGGAAAGCCAGACCAGTGACCTAGCCTGGAGTCGAACCGGGAGCTCCTGCTGTACATCTCCCAAGAAGGCCCAAGGAGAGCAGGTGTGGTCCATCCACCACTAGGTTCTATTCCTCCCCTTCTCAACTTTAATTTAAGCTAGAGTATTTCTTGAATTGCAGAGCACGAAAAGGACCTGCTGAGGCAATACATAATCTAGCCCGGAATCGAACCGGGGTCTCCTGTTGTACTAGTTCTACAGAAACTTTGCAGAAAGAACAGGTGTGATCCATTCACCACTAGGTCTTCCTTTCTACCTCTTGCAACCTTAGACATCTCCTATGGCAGGATCAATGAATGTAAAAAGCATTTGAAAGCAAACTCATGGCCCAGCTCGGAGTTGAATCGGGACCTCCCACTAAATGCGGCGTACTTCGAGTAATAATCATGGGCGTGAGCCGTGCACCACTAGGTCTTCGTCCCTACCTCTTTACACCTCAATTTATGCAGGAGTATTTTGCAATTTTGGGGCAGCAAAAAAAAAGTGGAAAGAGATGATGTATGACCTAGCCCGGAATCGAACCGGGAGCTCCTGCTGTACATTCTTGAAGAACATGTCAAGGAGAGCAGGTGTGAGCCGTGCACCACTAGGTCTTGTTTCAACTGGTTTCAACTTTGATTTATGCTGGAGTATTTGCAAATTTGGAGAGCAAGACTGGAAAAAAGTGAGAGCCCTCAAGCATGCCCTAGCCCGGAATCGAACCGGGACCTCCTGCTTCAACTTGATGAAAGGAGGGTTAAGGAGAGCAGGTGTGAACCATTCACCACTAGGTCGTATTCCTACCCTGTTGGACCTTGATTTATGCTGGAGTATTTTTTTTTCAACTTATAGAGCAATGGGACAAAAGAGTCAGCGCGGCACGTATGACCTAGCCCGGAATCGAACCGGGGCCTCCTGCTGTAATTTCTCAGAGAACTCAAGCCAAAGAGGAGCAGGTATGATCCATTCACCACTAGGTCTTTATTCCTACCCCTCCCAACCTCAATTTATGCTAGAGTATTTCCGAACTTGCAGAGCAATAAAAAAACTCCATCCTCACGTCCATGACCCAACCCGCACTCGAACCGGGGCCTCCCACAACATGTACATGCATGGTAATACTATTTCCAGGTAAGACTCGCAGCATTGTCATTGCCCGGGTCTACCCGGGTCTGTCAACGGCCCTTTTGATTGACCTCGTCAACCGCTGCTGCCGTTGAGGATGAGGATGACAAATTAAAGCTGGGAAAAAGTGTGCAGTACCGCGATGCGGTTGTTGTCTGGCTCTAGAATATGTTGATGGACCGTGTGCTCATTGACAAGCTGTGCATTGACACTGACAGGGGCTAGTACATTGACAGGGGTCAGTGCATTGACAGGTTAGTGACCTTTTTTTCCCTTAGCCTTTGAACTGCTAGAGTATTTTTGAATGGGTGAGCAATAAAAAAGTTGGAGATGCTGCATGACCTATCCTGGAATCGAACCGGGAGCCCCTGCTGCCATTACAAAGAGGAAACGTTGAAGAGGAACAGGTGTGAGCCGTGCACCACTAGGTCTTCCTCTCTCCCGCTTGTGCCCTCCATTTATGCCAGACTATTTCCTGCTTGGCTGAGCAATAAAAAAGAGTGGGAGAAATCGAATAAGACCTAGCCCGGAGTCGAACCGGGAGCTCCTGCTGTACATTCTTGAAGAACATGTCAGGGGGAGCAGGTGTGAGCCATGCACCACTAGGTCTTCATTCCTATGCTGTTAGACCTTGATTTATACTAGAGTATTTTGCAATTTTGGGGCAGTGAAAAAGGATACAGCAATACAATGCCTTATGACCTAGCCCGGAATCGAACCGGGACCCCCCGCTGCCCACTGTTGAGTATCGCAAGAGAAGCAGGTGTGATCCATTCACCACTAGGTCTTATTCCTCCCTCTTGTGCCCTTAGTGTATGCTAGAGTATTTCCGAACTTGCAGAGCAATTGAGCAATTTTTAAAAAAAGTTGGGGAGATGCCATGTGGATGACCTAACCCGGGGTCGAACCGGGGCCTCCAATCAACATATTCCAATGTTTCCTCGAGATGGAGTTGTGGGTGTGATCCATTCACCACTAGGTCTTATTTCCTACATGCTTGAACCACAATTTATCATCCAACTTTTCTCTTTGAGAGGGAAGAAAAAAGAGTAGATACTGTATACATGACCTAACCCGGAATCGAACCGGGACCTCCTGCTGTAAACCTGATCACACCTGAAGTAAAGCAGGTATGAACCATTCACCACTAGGTCTTATTCCCTACCCCTCCCAACCTCAATTTACCTCAGACATTTTCTGGATTTGGAGAGCAATTGAAAAAAAGTTAGAAGCCATCGTTGAATGACTTAGCCCGGACCGGGTGCTCCTTCAGCGCACGTCAGAAGAAGTTCAAGGAGAGCAGATATGAGCCTTTCACCACTAGGTCTTCTTTCAACTGATTTCAACTTTGATTTATGCTAGAGTATCTTCGAATTTTCAGAGCAAAGAAAAAGGTGAAGCGGCCAGCTGTGACCCAGCTCGGAGTCGAAGAACCAGGTCCTCCTGCTTCATTCTCTTCCCTGACGCTACAAGGAGAATGACTTATCAATCCACAACTGAGATCGGGGATCTCACGCTCGGCCTCGTGGGAACGCCGCTCCGAGTGTTGCGCAGCGTGTACGTAGTTTGGTCAGTTCGCAGTGAGAGCGAAATAAAGCACGGCGGACAAACGGAAAGACAGGAAGAACGGAAAGACAGCGGGTGTCTCGCTGCATGTACGTACTTCGGTCAGTTCGTGGTGAGAGCGAAATAAAAATAAAATAAAAAGCACGGACGGTCGGGAAAGAAGGGAAAGACAGCGGGTGTCGCGCTGCGTGTACGTAGTTTGGTCAGTTCGCGGTGAGAGCGAAATAAAAATAAAAATAAACCACGGACGAACGAAAGAAAGGAAAGGGCATGGAGAACGAAGAAAAAGAAAGGCTGTTGATACGGCAAATGACCTAGCCCGGAGTCAAACTGGGGCCTCCCACAAAAGTCGTGTGGTAAGAGTGATGGGTGTGAGCCATGCACCACTAGGTCTCCTTTCAACTGCTTTCAACCGCTTTCAACCTATATTTAAGCCATCCTGTTTTCTTAATTCATGTGGGCCACGGGGGGAGGGGTGGGGGGGACGCTGCATGACCCAGCCCGGAATCGAACCGGGGCTTTCTGCTTCAATGTGACGAAAGAGATGTCAACGAGAGCGGGTCTGCTTTCCTGTGCCCTGTAACCTGCATTCATGCTCGAGTATTTTCCTGCTTTAGCAGAGCAAAGAGTTCAGAGAATGAAGCAGGAGCTGGTCAACGTCCCGGGTCGACCTTGACGCTGCAAGGAGAATGATCCATCGGGAATCCCACGTCGGGGCTCGTGGAAATGCCGCTCGGGCAGGCCGGGCGTCTCGTGATCTTAGTGAGTATCTATATCTCGTCGTCCTAGCGAGTATCTATACAAGAAAATTAAAGACGTGAGTGTCAGTGTCTCGAGACAAACCTGATAGCCGACTCCGACGCTCCAATGAGGGCATCCAGTCTACAGCTCCACCGTGGTAAGTAGGTAGGTAGGTATTGATCCCCTGCGATGTCAGAATTCCATCTCAACTGTCAAGTATGTTCATTTTTCCTGTACGACCCTGTCCGGGAGCAACCGTGACACGGCCGTTGCCTGTTTTCCAGGCATTGGCAACGGGCCCCACGGTGAGCGCGACTGTTGCTCGAACTTCAAAGAAGCAACATGTCGAACAATCACTACATTTATTTTGCTATTATCAGCTGTTTTAATCAGAGCTAATCTCTGCTGTTAAATACACCCCAGGAGTGGCTTCCACGATCCAAAGCGATTTCCAAGCAACGCGGTAGCGGTGTTCAAGTGACGACAATGTGGAGGAAGGGAAAGATGAGTGACACTGACAGCTACATCGAACGTTTTTCGAGCTCAGCCCGAGTTCACTCGGGCGCTCCATGGCCGCAACGCGTCATTCCGTTTAATAAAATAAAAAAGGAGGAATGGAGGCGAGACATCATGACCTAGCCCGGAATCGAACCGGGGCCTCCTGCTGCACATATCATCCTGAGACTCAGAGCTCGAGCTGTCAAGAAGAGCAGGTGTGAGCCGTACACCACTAGGTCTTACTTCCGACCCTTTTGAACTTGATTTATGTTAAAGTATTTTCGAATTTTGCAGAGCAACAAAAAAACTCCATCCTCACATCCATGACCTAGCTATCCCGCACTCGAACCGGGGCCTCCCATAACATGTACATGCATCGTATTTCCAGGCAAGACTCGCAATGTTGTCATTGCCCGGGTCTACCCGGGTTTGTCAATAGGGCCAGGTCAACGGCCCTCGTCATCCGCCGCTACCCTTGAGGATGAGGATGACAAATTAAAGTGTGCGGTACCGATACCAATACCGATACCAATACGACATTGTATTGTCTGAACTCTAGAATATGTTGATGGACCGCGCTCATTGACGGTGACACTGACAGGGGCTAGTACATTGACAGGGGTCAGTGCATTGACAGGTTAGTGACCTTTTTACCTTTATTGGCCGAGCCTGCAGGACGACACTGGACCGTAGGCGTGGCGGGTGAGCCGTGCATTACTAGATCTTATGCCTACCCTCTTGTGCCCTCAATTTATGCTAGAGTATTTCTGATGAGCAGAGCAATAAAAAAGATGGAGAGCCAAGAATGACCTAGCCCGGAGTCGAACCGGGAGCTCCTGCTGCACATGCCGGATGCCGAGTAGTTACGGAGAGCAGGTGTGGGCCGTGCACTACTAGGTCTTATTCCTACCACCCTTACCCTCTGTTTATGCAGGAGTATTTCGAATTGGCAGAAATAAAAAAATAAAAATGCCCGCCGCCTATAAGACCCAGCCCGGAATTGAACCGAAGCCTCCTGCCTTGCACAACATACTGTACTTCCTACATGAGAAGCAGGCATGATCCATTCACCACTAGGTCTTATTTCCTCCTCCCTGAACGTTATTTATCCTACCGATTTCCAAATGTGCAGAGTAATTAAAAAAACTCCAGCCTCACATTCACGACCTAGCCCGGAGTCGAACCGGGACCTCCTGCTTCAACTTGACGAAAGGAGGGTTAAGGAGAGTAGGTGTGAACCATTCACCACTAGGTCTTCCTCCCTCCCTCTTGTGCCCTCCATTTATGCTCGAGTATTTCTGACGAGCAGAGCAATAAAAAGCGGTTGTGGAGGCAAGCCATGGCCTAGCCCAGAATCGAACCGGGAGCTCCTGCTCCATACACTTTCCGTGTTCAAGGAGTGCAGGTGTGATCCATTCACACCAGGTCTTCCTTCCTCCCTCTTCTGCCCAATTCATGCTCGAGTATTTGCCATTTTGGGGCATCAAAAAAAGACATGGGGATGATACATGACCTAGCCCGGAATCGAGCCGGGGCTTTCTGCTTCAATGCGACGAAAGAAGGCTTAAGGAGAGCAGGTGTGAACCATTCACCACTAGGTCTCTTTCCTCCATGTCCCATCCTTTATTGACCCTTGACATTTTTCTCTTCGACCGCGAAGAAAAAAGAAGAGAGAATGGAGGATGCATGACCTAGCCCGGAATCGAACCGGGAGCTCCTGCTGCATGATACAAGATTATTTCCAAAGAGAGCAGATGTGATCCATTCACCACTAGCTCTTATTCCTCCCCCTCTACCCTAAATTTACCAGAGAGTTTCTGATGAGCAGAGCAATAAAAAAGAGTAGATACTGTATACATGACCTAACTCGGAATCGAACCGGGAGCTCCTGCTGCATGATCAACAATTATTTCACAAAGAGTGCAGGTGTGATCCATTCACCACTAGGTCTCTTTTCAACTGGTTTCAACCTGTATTTGTGGTAGAGCAATTTCTCAAATTGCAGAGCAATAAAAGGACTTGCTGAGGCAATATATGACCTAGCCCGGAGTCGAACCGGGAGCTCCTGCTAAAGGCTGCTCAACCAAACTGTAAGAGAAGCAGGTGTGATCCATTCACCACTAGGTTCTGTTTGTTTCAACTGGTTTCAACCTCTATTTATGCTCAAATGTTTTCCGAGTTTGCAGAGCAGTAGTTAAAAAAAAGCCAAATACTTAGTCCAGAGTTGAACCGGGAGCTCCAGCACGTGGGATGAAAGACATAAGAGTTGTAGATGTGATCCATTCACCACTAGGTCTCTTTTCTGCTGTAGTTTCTTAAGGAATCAGACAGTGTTTGGGGTAAGAATCCAAGATGATAATTAGCGGTTGGCTGAGCTCTGCAAATGCTTGAGCAATACATAGGATCGGTAGCTGTTTGTATACTAAATTGACAAATGTAGAATGTTCCATAATATTCTCCCATGTTCTCCTGTCTCTCACTGACTCACACTGACTCTGTACGACTCGTCACCTCGGCCATGATGCCGGGTTGCCTCTTATGGCACTAACTCCAAAATTTTCGACTGCTTCCAACCTCTACTTATGCCAGGGTATTTCCGGACTTGGAGAACAATAAAAAAAATTCCATCGTCACAACCATGACCTAACCCGGAATCGAATCGGGAGCTCCTGATGTACACCAGAAGAATTATGGAGAGCAGGTGTGAGCCGTTCACCACAGGTCTTTCTCCCTCCCTCTTCTGCCCTATTTATGCTAGAGTATTTTCCTGCTTTGGTAGAACAAAGAAAACATTCGCCAAAGAGCCAAATGACCTACCCCGAATTGAACTGGGAGCTCCTTCTTCATTCTCTTTCCATGACGCGGCAAGGAGAATGATCCATTCACCACTGGGATCGGGGATCTCACACTTGGCCTCGTGGGAACACCACTCCGAGTGTCGCTGCGTGTACGTAGCTTGGTCAGTTCGCGGTGAGAGCGAAATATAAAGCACAACGGACAAACGGCAAGACAGCGGATGTTGTGCTGCATGTACGTAGTTTGGTCAGTTCCGAGTCGCGGTCAGAGCGAAATAAATAAATAAATAAAGCACGGACGAATGGAAAAAGGGAACGGGCATGGAGAACGAGGAGAACGAAGAAAAGAAAGGCTGTGGATACGGCAAATGACCTAGCCCGGAGTCGAACCGGGACCTCCCGCTGCACACGGCGAACAGAGAGTAAGGAGAGCAGGTGGGATCCATTCACCACTAGGTCTTCCTTCCTACCCTTCTCAACTTTAATTTACGCTAGAGTATTTCACTAATTTATGTAGGCAGCAGAGGAAAAAAGACACATACAACATAGACTCATGGCCCAGCCCGGAATCGAACCGGGGCTTTCTGCTTCAATGTGACGAAAGAAGGCTTAAGGAGAGCAGGTGTGATCCATTCACCACTAGGTCTTATTCCTACCCTCTCATACCCCCAATTTATGCTAGAGTATTTTCTGATGAGCAGAGCAATTTTTTAAAAAATGGAGAAAATGCACCTATACCTAGCCCGGAATCGAACCGGGAGCTCCTGCTGCATGACCAGTGTTATTTCATAAAGAGAGCAGATCTGGTCCTTTCACCACTAGGTCTCTTTTTCAACTGGTTTCAACCTGTATTTATGGTAGAGCAATTTCCTGTGTTTCGCAGAGGAAGTTAAAAAGCTTGCAAAGACGCGGTCATGACCTAGCCCGGAATCAAACCAGGAGCTCCTGCCATAACCATGAACTCTACGAAATTCTCAATTTTCAGAGCAAAGAAAAAAATGTTGGAGAAGAGATAGATAACTTAGCCCGGAGTCAAACCGAGGCCTCCTGCTGTACACATCGGAACTGAAGGAGTATTGAAGGAGAGCAGGTGTGATCCATTCACCACTAGGTCTCTTTTCAACTGGTTTCAACCTCTATTTATGGTAGAGCAATTTCCTGTGTTTCGCAAAGAAAGTTAAAAGGCTTGCAAAGACGTGGTCATGACCTAGCCCGGAGTTGAACCGGGAGCTCCTGCTGTATCCTGGTCTCGACTTCGTAAAGAGAAACAGGTGTGAGCCATTCACCACTAGGTCTTCCTTCTTCCTCTTCTATCCTCAATTTATGCTCAAGTATTTTCCGGACTTGCACAGCAATAAAAAGAGTTGGAGAAATGTTGCATGACCTACTTGGCCCGGAGTCGAACCGGGGCCTCCTGCTGTGCACTACGGAAGAATCAAGGAGAGCAGGTGTGATCCATTCACCACTAGGTCTTCCTCCCTTCCTCTTCTGCCCTATTTATGTTGGAGTATTTTCTGCTTAGCTGAGCAATACAAAAAAGTGAGGGCCCTCAAGCATGACCTAGCCCGGAATCGAACCAGGTGCTCCTTCAGCGCACGTCAGAAGAAGTTCAAGGAGAGCAGGTATGATCCATAGCCCGGAGTCAAAGAACCAGATCCTTCTGCTTCATTCTCTTCCCTGACGCTACACCAAGGAGGAATCGGCTTTCGAATTTCGGCTATTGGGTCGAAAAGTTTTTTCAGCCTCCCTGGAGACCCCCCCCTCCTATATAGGGCAGGAGTTTCCCACCCCTAACGGCGGGCCGCGCCTCCGAGTCATGTGCGGGCTCACCGCCACCTCACTGCCACCTGATGGGCAGCTTCCCAATCCAGCCGACGATATAACCGCCTTCCTCAGTCAAACCCTGGGACACTCCAGGTGGCCCATAATATGGTTACAATTACAACAATGTTATAGTCATTCTATAGGTTATCAACTCATTTTGTGCCACCCAGCCTGCCATACTAGAGACTGTGGGGCCTCGGGGAGCCTCCTGACACTCATTCTCTGGCCCCTGCACCTCCCCAATGCTTCAGATAGTGTTTTAAGTGTCCCAGGACTTCCGTAGAAATGTATAGTAAAAAGTTTTTTTCAGCCCCCCGAGGGACCCCCCCCCCCCCCTCCCTATAGCCGAAATTTTAATGCCGATCCCCCCTTGCGCTACACGGAGAATGAATGATCCATCCACCACTGAGATCGGAGATCTCACGCTCGGCCTCGTGGGAACGCCATTCCGAGTGTTGCGCTGCGTGTACGTAGTTTGGTCAGTTCGCGGTGAGAGCGAAATGAAAATAAAAATAAATAATGCACGGCGGACAAACGGAAAGACAGGAAGAATGGCAAGACAGCGGGTGTCGCGCTGCGTGTACGTAGTTTGGTCAGTTCGCGGTGAGAGCGAAATAAAAATAAAAATAAAGCACGGACGAACGGAAGTAGCGAAAGGGCATGGAGCATGAGGAGAACGGAGAAAAAGAAAGGCTGTTGATACGGCAAATGACCTAAGCCGGAGTCGAACCGGGGCCACCCACAAGAGTCGTGTGGTAAGAGTAGTGGGTGAGCCGTGCACCATAGGTCTCCTTTCAACTGCTTTCAACCTATATTCAAGCCATCCTATTTTCTTAATTCATGTGGACCACAGAGGGAAAAGTGAGGGAGACGCTGCATGACCCAGACCGGAATCGAACCGGGGCTTTCTGCTTCAATGTGACGAAAGAGATGTCAACGAGAGCGGGTCTGCTTTCCTGTGCCCTGTAACCTGCATTCATGCTCGAGTATTTTCCTGCTTTGGCAGAGCAAAGAATTCAGAGAAGTAGGAGCTGGTCCCGGGTCGACCTTGACGCTGCATGGAGAATGATCCATCGGGAATCCCACGTCGGGGCTCGTGGAAATGCCGCTCGGGCAGGCCGGGCGTCCCGTCGTCCTAAGTAGTGAGTATCTGTATCTCGTCGTCCTAGCGAGTATCTATCTATACAAGAAAATTAAAGACGTGAGTGTCAGTGTCTCGAGACAAACCTGATACATAGCCGAGCCTGACGCCCCAATGAGGGCATCCAGTTCACAGCTCCACCGTGGTAAGTAAGTAGGTAGGTATTGATCCACCGCGATGTCAGAATTCCATCTCAACTGCCAAGTATGTTCGTTTTACTGTACGACCCTATAGGGGAGCAACCGTGACAAGTCCGTTGCCTCTTTTCCAGGCATTGACAACGGGCCCCACGGTGAGCGCAACTGTTGCTCAAACTTCAAAGAAGCAGCATGTCAAACAATCACTATATTTCTTTTGCCATTATCAGCTGTTTTCGGCAGTCTGAGCTAATATCTGCTGTTGAATAGACCCCAGGAGTGGCTTCCACGATCCAAAGCGATTTCCAAGCAACATGTTCCGATTTATTTTTCGAACCATCTCATGACTTTTTTTAAGCAACGACGCACAGCGTGACAGTGACCCGACAGAAAAAAGGCAACGCAACGGGCCTCCAATGACCGTGACCGTTGCTCCCGTACATACAGGGTGACAGCGTCGTATAGTACTTCGACCCTTGATTAAACTCACTATTGGAGCTTATTGGCACTTTTGAACCAAGATTTCAAAGCGCTCCCATTGGCTACACTGGCAGTTGTGGAGCAGCCGATCAGATCTTTCAGAGTCAGTGCAAATTTAAAGATTGTTTTACCGCTTGCCATGCTTGACTCTTTGCATATTGGTACAACATGTACGGAATTATGACCGATGTCATGGAAACTAGGCCCCGTGAAGCTCCACCAAAAGGTTGTCTCGAAAAATCCCCAAATCCGGCCTCAAAAAGCCACTCGTTGCTGGCATTTTCGGCCTTAAAAAGCCACTATTGGATAAGGGTCGCCACGTTCACTTCAAATTTTGGCCAAAATGCGCGCGGAAAATCAAACTTTCGCCCACGGCGCCAGCGACACACGGCGGCGCCTCTGGGAACATGTTGATCGGAGCGAAGCCGATTTGTGCCGGTTCCGGTTTACGGCCAAGACTCAGTAGGTTTCCCAAAATTGCGCCTCAAAAAGCCACTTTCCGGACAGGGCTTCTCATTTTTTTGGCCTCAAAAAGCCACTCTTTGGACAGGGAAATCTCAAATTTTCGCCCTCAAAAAGCCACTTTTGAGACAATCCTTGGGTGGAACTTCACGGGGCCTGGTAAACTGCACTTCAAACGCAAGTATGCTAAACTTACTAAGGCATTCATTCAAAACTGGGTAGGTAAATCAAAGGAGGGTCGGCCGTCTTGGTCGTCCACTCAGGCCGGGCCAAACATTCCACACCACAGAATTCAATTGATCTTTGCTCTAACATATGTAGCTGCTACCGTGCATCGGCTCGCCTTACCGTGATTAATTTACCTCTGCTCTTGCTTAATATATATATATCTCTGTCTGAATTTATAGTGCGGAATTCCGGAGCTGTTAGCTGTCTATGAGGCTGTGACGAGGGGCGGGTTTAAATCCCGAGGGATCAAAATTATCTGCTACTCAATTGGTCTCCTCTCTCAGTAACCGTGGTGTAGCACGGGCACACTGCTAGTAAGCATTGAAGCCCATATAGCTAGCGCACGGTGTCCAAAAAGAATTAAGGGGATGGGGAACGCAAAAAAGGAAAAGGAAATGCCTGTCAATACGCCATGACCTGGCCTGGACTTGAACTTGCAAATGATTAGGAAAAAATGTAAAAGGAGCCTCAAGCATGACCTAGGCCGGAATCTAACTGGGACCTCCTGCTGCAACTTATCTCAGACCTCCACCTAAAGACAAGCAGGTGTGATCCATTCACCACTAGGTCTCCTTTCTACACCCTCATCCTATATTTATGCTAGAGTATTTCTGAATTGCGAGCAGAAAAAAGAAGAGTGATGCCAATTACCACTCCACCTTCAATTGCTACCTTCCTGTGCATTCGACCTCCCATAAACAATGTCTACCGAACAACACCATTGGAACACACACAAGCACGAGAATCTCATCAATTTCAATCCAACTGGAATTAACTCCCAGATATGCATGTATTGAGTTCAAGCTCATCCCATGTCGTTGTGTGGCAAAATTTTATGCAGATTCTGGGCGCATTCGACGTGTTTCGATTCGCTCCTGCTTCGTCGAACATCAGCGATCCGGGATTGGCCGAACAGCACATCGGGATTCTCCAAACCTGCGCAAACAGTGTACGGCTTCTTCCATCTCCCACGTCCTTGCCAATAGCAACAATGAGGCCTGTTATGAGGGAGGAAGCTGTAAGTCAATACACAGCTGCTCTTGAACTTTCGCTGGTATGTTACAGCCACCAGGATGCCAGTGGCTGCCGGTGATCTGACACCGCGCTGTGCCACCCGGTGGCGTGACAGATACAACTTTCCGAAGGACTTGAAGTACGCCATACTGGTTGTGATGTGCAGAGAGCCAATTGCTTCTCACCACGCTTATATAAGTGTACAATTTGGAACCCGATTCGGATTTGGACCCTGCCAGAACCGCTGCCCTTCATCTTATACTTTGAACAGGTCTCTCTTGTGATTATCAGTGATTTCGTACACCCTCGTATCAATCCGAGTCAACATCCGAGTCCAATTTGAATACATCCGGAACCAACTCGAATATCCGCATAGTAGGGGATAGATCCAAACCCACGTCCCGCAAGCAATTTCCTTCCATTCCAAATTCTTTAACAATTCGAGAATTCCAAAATGGCCCGGCAATAAGAAGCCTACTAATGAAGACGACTTGCACGCAGACAGCGAGCTCATCTCTGCATCCAAGCTGTACGGAGTGACGACTTCGAGACTCTAATGTGCATTCGTATGTTGCGATGTTTCGATTTGCGGCGGTGTTTCGATCCCGTCCGTTGCACTCATCGTCGAGAAGTCCCAATTCATCGTCCCACTGATGCCATACTGAATTTAAGCGCTTCTTCGCCTTCTCTATCTCTCCCAGAGTATATATAGACTCTCGATGCTCGCCAACCTCCGCCGTGCGTACCATCTTTTTTCCGCTGTTCCATCTGGTTATTTATATTACCGTGTACGCATCGCCTCCCATCTCCTCATCCTTAATGCTGAATATCCGCATTCCGGCTTGCAAGAACTCGGCGATTTCGGATGAGTCTGAACCTTCATCGGTTGTTCTTGGCGCGCGCCGCGAAGGACTGGGATCGTAAGTCGCATCTAAAAAGCTGGCCACATACATCACCGACGTTTCCACTTAGAACTGTACTCAAAACCGCTTGCTAGATGTGAATTCAG